GCTTACAAACAAGGTGAAAAGCTTACTTTTCAAAGCATTTCTATAAAACTGCTGCTTTACGTTTGGCTGGGTACACCATCTGCTCTTAGGCTGGTTACTTTAAGCTTTCTAAGTTCTGCACAGAACCTCAAGATATAATATTAGCACAATGAGTAGCCTTTGTGAATCGCACACTAGATATATGATATAACAAATTCAACTCGGGTATGGCAACACAGCCATTGTTGTACCACAGGTCACTGCAATAGAGCCATGCATACTGTCACACAATTCAATGTTAAACAAATGACAAATTTTTCAAGAGCAGCACTGAGCTGTGAAGTGACTCCAAAGCAAAATGATGTATCTATGTAATATTACTGTCAAGAGAAGGAGGTGGCCAGCCATAAGGTATGACACGTAAATATACAAATGCTTAGATGGCAAGAAAAGAGGCTCCTCTCCATTGCTGTTGCTGGAATGACCTCAACTCTTTCACCAGTCTTTTGCTGCTGCTCTGGTTTATTCTGTCCCTCTCTCTGTCTTTCACTTTGTTGTATCAAGCACACACTGCCACTGCGGTTCTCACACACATGCTCCCTCATCCTCGGTCACCCTAACCACCTCATTTCTCCAGCCCTCCCTCCTCTCCAACTCTCACTCTCTGCGTAATTCAATCATCCCAAGGAGATGGATATCCGTCCCCTAGGAGCGCTTACACTCTCCATTTCCTAAAGCGCTTGATCAGATTAATTGATTGCACCCCCACACCCCCCCATCACTGTGCCCCTTCTGCAGATAGAAGTTGATGCGGTAGTGGAGGGTGTGCAGAAATCAGGTTTGCATTGATATTTTTATAAAATGGCTTTTTCCTTCTGCCCCCTGACAGACCACATAAAAGGACAAAGGGGAATAGATAAAGTGTGTGAGCCGGGAAGAAGGGGGTGGGAGACACAGAAGGGTAGAAGCCTGCAGAAACAGGCAGGAATTATAAAGAAGACCAAACAATAACCTGCAGTGTACAGGAGAACAGGAGACCAAGGAACAACATAAAACAGATAAACAAGACTGTTTAGGAGGTTTATAGTACATGTGAGGTGACTGTGTGTGCATGCATCTGTGTGCCATGATGTTTTGGCTGCAAGCATGCAGAGCACAGCAGAGGGTAGGGATGGGAGAGTCAAACCAAGCCCCACAGGGAATGCAGGAAGACCTCAACTCATCCATTATAACTGCGAGCCAAGCGGCTGCCATGTCTCCTGATGGCTGAGTCCCTGTGGAACTGTCTCTCTCTTCAGTTCCCTGTCTATCTCCCTCTCACCCTGTCTCTTTCTCTCTCTGTTGCTCTCCTTTTCTCCATCTCTTTCTCTATATCTCGCTCTCTTTGGCACTGGGGATCGTAGTAGATTACGGTGCTGTTCCAAGCCTTTGGCTTCTGCGTCGTGGCAGGGGCCAAATACACACCACATTCACACGCTCATACACACGCGCACCAGCACGCAAACACAGAGGCACACAAGTACACAGAGAGGCTAGGAACTCGCTCGTCTCTCTCTTATCTATCTGCCGCACATGCTCCCCATATGTGTAAAGCTTTTACATGAGCGCACCATTATAGCTGAGGCTTTTACCTCTGGAGAGCCAAATTACCTTTCAGATACAACCTTCCCTTTTTCAACTTGCCCTTGACATTTACTTCCCTTGCGTTTCCCCTGTACGTATACACTCAAACACACACTACAAAACCACACGTTCTTGCTTAATCCAGCATGTTAGCACGTGTACAGACAAACACACACATATTTACCAAGTTGCATGTCCTCTGGCTAATAACTCTTAATCATTCAGATCTCACTCACACATTTTCTACACATTCCTCTTACCCTGTAGTATCTTTTATGTTCAGAAAATACTGTATGTCTGCAGGATATAACACACTGCTTAGAATAGAGCATGCACTTTTCAGCTGCAGAGCATCTCATACTTGGTAATAACAGGTAAGGGCTTGCATTTGGTTTTATTAAAAATGAAAACGACCACACTATTAATCTAATACACTTGTCCCAGCTCTAACTGCCATCAAAATTAAAACAAATATAAAAACAATCCTCCACCAGTGTCCAAACCTGAAACTACATAATATGACTATGGTTGTAAAAAATAATTGTAGATAATTAGAAACTGATGTTTTCTCTTTTCACAATTAATCGTGCACTTTAATAAAAACCCATTAAGCAATATTTTTTTATATTAACATCGATTTAAATTAGACTCCGTTAAATGAACTGGTTGGTATCTACTGATCCCACTGAAAATCAACACCACACTCTGCAGTTGTATGCAATTTACATGCAAGACTGCTTGCACAAGCCAGGTCTATGCTGCCTGAACAGCATGAAATGGTGGGGAGCTTTATTTATTGAGGAGCGCTTAAAGAAAGCATTTAGCATGCCAAAGCGACTGAAATATATTTTTCAGGAGTTAGTGAGCCCAAATAAAACAGGAGCACAAAAGTGAATGTTGGCCTTACATTTCACAGGTAAAAAGACGGAGGACTCTGTTTCTGTTTTTGTTCTGACAACATCCAATATAATACCAAGCTCGGTTAGAGTTGCAATAGACCTGAAATCAGATGATGTCACAGAAACAAGTTTTTAATCTTGATTTTTTTTTACAAATGTCATGGATTATATCAAGCATGTACAGTGTATAAAGAATGGATTAAGAACAGTTCTTAAAACGGGTACAGTACCAAAAAAAGTCTACCTCAGGGTTGCATCCGCCAACTGCATCCACTACAAGTAATGGGCAAAATTGGCCTAACTAAGAATCAGACTGCAAAAATGAAAACAAGACTGCCACTGAAAAGATGAAAAGCTAAAAATATAAGTTAAGGACCAAGTCGTAAAATCTTTACTAATGATTATGACACTGTCTGATCACAGCTGGAAAAGCTGGGATTCAGTTTTACCACTATATGCAGCAAAAGTGATTTTGAACGTCATGCCCCACACTGTGATCAAAGAATGTTAAGGAAACAAGAAATTTTCAACAAGAATATTAACTCGCATGAGTGGGAAAGTGTTAATGACATGCGGCAGATGATTCATAGAGTGATCAGAAACACATGCTGCTGCTCCCTGCTGCTTGGAGGGGGAATGACCATGTAGTGCAAGTGGAGAAGGGGAAGAAGAACTTATGTGAGAATGCACAGAGGAGGTGCTGATATTGATTGGGCAGACTCGTTTGGATAAATATGCACCCTGTTTGTCTATTTCATGGTCAATTTGAGAAGTGAGTGGCACTGGTTATTTGCTGCTGTGCAGAGGCAAACATGTACAAATAGCATATTTGTAGGAGGGAAACTGAACCCCTGAATTGAATACACATAATCAATGCAGACAGTCAAATTGATACACGCATTCAATAAACACACATACACATGCATGTATGCCCCGTGAGCTTGAGTCCTTAGCCTACAGCCTAAATCAACACATTTATTTTTCTCTCTATAAGACTCTCTCTCGCTTTCTTTCTTTGCCCACACTTTTTATTTGCTAGGGGGCTCAGCTCAGAGACTGGGATTGATCCTGAGCTGCCGTCTTGAACTTGCACCCCGAGGGCAGCTCAGTGCACACACACGGAGGCCCCTCTCCACTTACTCCAATCATGGTTACACTCACTGTTACACTATATCCACTTATACAACTAGGATGACAAATCCATGCAGAAAGTGTCAACCACCTCCACCTGGACTCTTTTAAATACAATGGAAGGCTGATGAAGACTACTTTTAGGAAAGGTTTATATCCTCCACTAAAAGAGGCACTGCATTATTTAAAACACAGTTAACAGTCAAAGTTCAAAACCAAAAACTCACACTGGTCTTTTCTTTCGCTGAACAGTTTAAAAATTACTAGTGTGTGTATAAGTATCAGGGGAAATTAATAAACATAACAGCTGCTTTGGTCATGACCGCAACAGTTTCAGAAACCACATCCCATTTGCTGAGTGGTTTTTCATGGGCAAAGCACAAAAAAACCCTGTTTTTTGCAAAGGCAAAGATTCATTTGAGCATTTTACATAAATAATTCATACAAAGACAGATGCTTTTGCAGCGTTTTCACCTGGAGACAGACAGCTAACTAGCCAGAATGCTCACTCATCCACATACCCTTCCTATTTTTTGAAGTAAGAAAAAAAGGGAGGAAATGGGCATAATTTGTTTGATTCATTTACCGTTGCCTACTATGACTAAATGTCATTAAGAGTGGTTGCTGCACAGCTATGGAATAGCTGGCAGCATACTGGGAGTTGAAATAAAGCAACATGGTAATTAAAAGGATGCATCCATCCCACACACACTGTGCCAGTCAGGAGCCTAATAGCTCTATGGAGGCTTGCGTGTTCAAACTCACACTTACATACACTACGGTCACAAATAAATCTACAACTACTGCCTGTGTTTTGCTGTGACTGTCCTGCATTCCTATAGAGTTTGTGATTGATGGGCTCTATGATTGGTGTTGTGAGACAGGTGGAGTCTTCGGGTGAGCTAATCTACACTGCCTCCTACAGGATAACAGTCCACACTGGACCTGTGAATGTGTGAGATGCTCATCATCACCTTCAACCGAGTTGATAAGGATGACGATAAATGGTGTTTACATAGCACCTATCAAGTCTTCAAATTCAACCACTACAACTGCTTGACAGCAAGGATGGATTCAAACAGGAGACTGTGTAGAAAGTCTACTGTATGTCAGAGTTGTGTGAAATGAAAAATTACTGGGTGCTCTCTAACAGATGTTTTCCTTATGGCCTGACTGATATTTTTTCTTAGCAAACTTTTAATTATGTCCCATTAGTTTAGTATCTACTCTTAAAGGTTATTAAGTGTCACAGAGAGCACAACAACACATCCCAACCTGAGATACAGCATTGCCTAGTCGCAAATTTCATCAACAGAATGTGAAAACCATCAGAATTAATCAATCCTTACCAAAGGACAGCGCTCCTACCTTCCATGCAATGCAGTTGCCTTTGGCGCTAAACTGCAGCGCTACCGGAAACTCGCCACGCTCATAGAACTTGCGAAATGTGGTTGATTTGGTAGGGCGCTCCTGAAAAGCCCCAGCTGCCGGGGGACCCACCACCTGGTCAAACACAAGGACATGAAGAAAGCAAGAATGAAGAGAAAGGAGTGAAACAGAGAAATAAACAAAATGAGACATACACAGCAAGTGAGTGTTGTTTTATAAAACCAGAACTGACTGTGTTTTGTCCTACAAGAAAGAATTACTCTCACTACCTTTTCTTACAAGTAATTCAGGAAGACACATGTGCCAGCTTCCCTGCTTCTCTAAAGAAGGCAAAACACAGATAGTATGTGCATGTGTGTGTGTGTGTGTGTGTGTCTTGGCCCTGTAGCCAGAGGCACTACCAGAGGCATCGTTAGGATCATCTTTTGCCTGCCACCATACTGGATATGTGCATTTACTGTGCTACTGAAAGCCAATGGGATTCCTGTCACATCAGCCACACTGCCTGCTGCTTTTGATATAGGGGCTATTAGTGGTGGCACCCAAAAAAGATGTACAGTAATTAAAAGCAACACGCTGGATTAGAACAAAAAGGGAATATTATCATTCTTATGCATGTGTGTGTCCAGTTTGTTTACCTATCTCCATTAAAGTGTAATGCACAACAGTTAACCTTATGTTTCTGTGACATGTATCCATCCGGACTGGACTAGGGAGCTAACAAAAATGAGTTGGGAAAACATTTCAATGAGGAATTATAAATAAGAATCATTAATATATCCTTTAGCAGTGCAAGCTGGCACGTATTAAACGTAACAACATGTGCTGGTGGTTAACTGACAAAAGAAGCTCAAACCTGGTAGACTAGGCTATAACCACGTCTCAGAAGAAATATACACTCACACACACACACACACACACACACACACACACACACACACACACACACAAGAATGAATAGTCAAACAGCAAAATCTGAGTCAACTGACAATATTCTTAGTCGGGTACAGCCCTAATATTCAAGTTACAAAAACTGTAACAATCACACATTGAAAGATAAGCCTAATACAAGGATGTGTTAAAAATGACATATTTTAAAAGCCCCTAAAATTACTCCAAAGCATCTGCAAAGAAACACTAACACTCACTGACAAAGTGACTGAATCATCTCAGCCAAGACCCAGTGGTGAGACTGTTAAAGTGGGAGCAACTCGTACTTATTTGACTGAAGATATCAGAGCTTTTCAAACAGCATGTTGTAGTGGACGAATGACAGAATGTTGGAGCCAGTGTTTTCCCTGTCCGTGTTCCTTGTGTGCATTCCCCGCCATCTGTGTCGCGCTGCCACATGACTGGCAGATGTGTGGCTGTCATTAATCCTCAGATTACCACCCAGTGAGAAACAGAATTTTGCAGTCCGCAGACAGATCAAAGTGGGTCTCATATAAGTTGCCTAAAACCGGTGTGCAATGTGAGAGATATTAAAGAGGTTTTACCATCAGGCTACTTAACAATGGTTTCTGTTACATCACTCACTAGTGTTGCCCATTTGCTGCATAATTCAAAACCAAAATTGATTTAAAAAAATCCTAAAAAACTATAAATGTTGCTTAGAAAACCCACACCAAAGGAATGATGTAACATGGATCAAAGTATGCAATGTACAACACGGTGCAGCTGGTTCCAGTAAATATAGGCTCAAGAAAGAGAGGCAAAACTATTAAGGGGGACCCTGAACGACTGTCTCTGAGCACTCACTGCATTTAAACACCTCTAATGCACCGTAAGATTGCAGCACAGTCATTTCAAATGAATCCATTTGGAGCATTTATTTACCATGCCAGGGAATTCCGAATAATATTATGCTCAATTAATAGGCATGTTTGTATACCTACAAAAAAAAGACATCAAACGATGCATGTATAACAAAAGAAAAGGCCAAAAATCCATCACAAGTGATATGTATGACTGTTACTTTAAATATATTTAGTTGCAATGGGGTGTTTAATCTTGTACAGCAGACAAAAAATTGTTAAGCTTATCCTTTTATATAACCATCTTAGGCATGGTCAGAATTATTTTTAACCTGCACTGGTTAAAAACCAGAGATTTTAACCAAATTCCATTTTAAAAAAGTCTAAAATCGATAGTTGTATCAAAACCAATCATTCACAAGTGTCTTGTTAATTCTAGTGTGCGTCTTTCTAGTGTGTTCCTGCATACACGTGTATGTGCCGTACCATCTGCCAGCGTCCATGCATGCCCACTTCCAGCAATCCAGCAAAAAAATTTCTGAGGACACAGGGTTAAGCCTACTAACTAACCTATGGCCCAAGTGGGAAAGAATTTCACATTCTGCAAGCACAGTCAAGAGATTCTTGACATAATAAATGCAATGAAAAAAATATGCAGGACTTACATCAACTATAGCACGAGCCCGACCAACCTCGCTACTCACTTGAAAAGGCAGCACATAGCTGTATCATTTTTGTGTTGACTATAGACAAATCAAACCATGTGAGAGACAAAGATATACATACTGTCAGTTTACATCATGAGAGTACTGTTTCTGTCTTGTCACATCAAGAGCAAAGTACAGGAATGCAGTGCATTTTGTAGTTTCATTTACACTGTAAAATGTACATCACTATTATGTGTTTGCCTTCCAGCTTTTTTGTCCATCTCTGTTCATTCCTTTCACTGATTGAGTTGTTTGTAGCACTAGCCGTGGAAATAGGAAGCTGTAAAGCTTGCAAGATCAGTGCTGCTCCAGTCTGCAGCAGTGACAAAGCCTTCATATCCAGGTAGCTATCACGGTGGTTGAGCTACACAGAGAAGCTAAAAATAGCTCAGACTGGGCAGCCAGGAGAGAATGAACCCAGGCTGCATTGACTGGCTGAGCAGATTTTATGGTCAGGAATGATGACGTTGCACTCAACTCCATGGCCTGTTCATGGCTGAGGTGTCGCACGCTTCACAACTATTCCACTGTTTTCTGCCCAATTATGATCACTAGCACACCAAGAGCCAGAAAAATATATAATGTACATACATGCACAATGGCAGTCCTGTGGCTCCGCTCACCATACAAAAAGCCAAACACAGAAGCCCTTTCCTCCACCATCTGCCAGCTCTTGCATGCCAAGAGAAAAACAGCTCTTATTGAATCACAAAGTAATAGCTATAGCAAAGAGTGCCCGTGTTGTGAGCAACAACATCCTTAAGTTCTGTCTTATACGGGCGAGCATCGGTTTGTATTAACTTACTTTAGATTAACCGTGCTGACAAGAACTGCTGGTGATTCTGCTGCAGTGTGCTGTACTGCTACTATAATTTTTAGCGCTGTACATCTCTCAAATACATGGTTTTCTTCTCTTCTGCTCTGTCTGCATTTCTTGCTGATGGGAGTAGCCATAAAGGTGGTTGTGTTGTGATATGAATGTTAAGGACAGCCCCATGCAGTGCAGCATACCCCTTGTGTAATCCAAAATTCAACCATGTTCTAAAATACTGGCATAAACACAAACACAGACAGTGAAAAAGGCAGAAAAAGGGGGCCTATAACATAGACCTATACAAGCAGATAACATCCCACCTCTCTGTGGAGGCCATAAAATGAGCCTGTGAGGTGACAGACTACAGAACAGAGAAAGAGGTGGTGTAAGGCAATAAAGGGAGAAAGTGTCTGTTTTGTGTGCCCCTGGTGCACACATCAGGGAGTCATAACAAGGCAGTACTGGTCAGATGAGCTCCAGGCTGTCATTTCTCTCCTTCGCCTTCGCTCTACCTCTAGATCTGTTTCCTCCCTATTGCTGTTGTCCACTCCAACTAGCTCCACCGTAAACCTGACTGCTGCAAGACCCACAGAAGCAATAACACAGCAACATGCACTCATGCACACACACGCTGCACATGCTAAGCTTCTCCTGAGGTAGCAGGGCCGCGTGCTCCTGTCATTTATAATGGTGTCACACTGTGAAAGAGATGCTTCTTCTAACCTTATCACTATGGCTTTCATGGCACTTGATGATGAAACACAAAGTAGGTGGGTGGCCAAAAGACACAAGGAAAAAACTGCAATGAAAGAAATTAAAAGGGAAGCTGAGGTGTGATGAAGGTGAAGGGTGAAAGAAGGAAGAACAAAAAAAAAAGAAGAACTCAAGAGGCAGAGATGGAGAATTGGGGAGGGTGATGGCGAAACGGTGGATGTGGTGGATGTGAGAGGAAGCGGGGCACAGGGAGACAAGAGGTGTGGCTCATCAATTTTGAGAGTGAGTTCAGCGTGGCGGGGCTGCTGGTGCATGTAGGTGATCCATCACTGTGCCTGGGCCTCCAGCTTCAGAATTCTTGCATTCATCTCTCCATCTCTCTGCCTACATACCACCGACCCAAAACACCTTAGATGTCTGGTGAAGGGCTGTCGACTCATCAACCCTGGATTGCCACTGCTGCTGCACTGCCTCAAATTAGACCCTTGTTAATCTCTCACTTCAATTCTATCCCATTCACCCTTCTGCCTGTTGTCTGTCAAGGGAAAAATGCATTGTGCTGCATTGCATCTGTAGGGGAACAAGGGCACCACTGCACATACAATAGATGTACTGCAGGGATGGGCAATTCCGGTCCTCGAGAGAAGCTGGAAGATACCAATTCACTTTGTCTTTCCTCACTCCACCTTAAATCTAAGACAGTATCCTTCTGCTTCTGATTGACTGAACACACCTGATCCAGGTAATCAGCAGTAAGCAGGGCAGGGATAGTTGGAAAACAAGCAGGCAGCAGCACTTGAGGACCAGAATTGCACACCCCTGGTGTACTGCATCACTCATCTAGTGCAAAGGGGGAGGCACCCACTTGCTTGTGCTCTCTCTCTCTCTCTCTGCATTTCACTGCTGTTCTCAGTTGAGAGATTATTGAAGTCTGGCTCTACGCAGAAGGCCGCCCTTCCTGAGGGAGGGAGCCAGGGTTGGTGAGTCACAGAGGATGGAAGAGACAGGCTGATCCACTCATGACAAGGTCAGCTTGCACATCGCTGCCACAGGCAACAAAATTAACTCTTTTTATATTCAGACTATACTCTGCCATAGCCCTGCCATAATGAGTTGGGCTAGAGA